AATGGAAACAGGCCAACTGTTTATAAAAAACAGACTGAAAAAATGTGGTACACTCACACAGTGGAATGCTGTATAGCACTCAGGAGCAATAATTTTGAAAAACAGTATACAACATAGGAGAGGCTGGAGACCATTATGCTGAGTGAACTCACTCAGTCTCATAAGGACAAATACTGCATAAAACCATTATTGTAAATATCGAAGACTAACTAGTAAGATGTGTATAAAACTCCAAAGGGGGAAGCGGAGGGGGCAGAGGGGCTGAAGGTGGGGAGAGGAGGAAATCAGAGTCTTAGAGTTTGGTGGGTGGAGGGAGGGGTGAAGGAATAAGGAAAGATTTGGTAGGGGGATGTAAAGAAGGGGTAATAGTGGGCATAAATCAATGGTGACTGATTCTATAAAACACAAAGTATAGGAATGATCATATGAAACACAATGTGAAAAAAGGAATGTGTGAAACACATCAATTTTGTATGCAAACCAATATATAAATTTTAAAACCTCCACAATGTACATGAATAAAGTGCAATGTAAATGAATTATTATATGAAAACCAATTTAAAAAATGAAGAGGAAAAACTCAACGAAACAATCATTTTCCCAACTAAAGAATGGAAATTCTTTGTTCTTGATAGAAAAAAAACCATCCATATCTATCAAGGATGAGGCAGAATGTCTGTGTTCCACTCATGTTTCCTGATGCTCTGAGTAGGTTTTTAAGTTGTTCTTTAAGATGGTCCTTAACTTAAGGAGGTCAGATGCTACTAACGAGACAATTTGAATATGTAGTCTGCTGAGTTGGGGGGGGGGGCGGGGAATCAAACAGATACGTAGGGACTAGAAAAGGATAGAAACCCAAATTTGGAGTCTGCTTCATTGCAACTTAATAAAAAGGGTTTTTAAAGCAGAACACAGGGGCTTCATAGTAAGAGTGTTTCTATGACCCTCTAAGCATTTCTTCACGTCTCTAGGCCTATGTCTCATTTTCTGTAGAATAAGGTTTCTAAATCAAATTACCTATAAATTACCTTTTAATTATAAAATATCAAAAGTTGAGATCAGTTAACTTGACTACATTGAACTGAGTGCTTAAAAAAATTGGTTTAAACCTAAAGCAATTTGTCTTTTGCTCTGCTGCTTTAAGGCGACACGTGTTCACTGTCTTTTCTGTTGACCACTTGTGCCCTCTAGTGATAAAGTCAATGATACCACAGGATTGTCTTGGAGAAGTCAGCTGCAAAAGAGTCATCTTTGTTACCCAGGGAAGATAACAGAAGACAGTAGACAAAGCCCCATGTTAAGAGAAAAAAAGACCGGTCAAAGATGTGGGTAGAAAGATGAAAAGAATTCAAATAGCCACTATCTTCTGCCTAGTGCCCGTGTATTTGCCTTCCAGAACAAAAATTCTGAGCAGTTACTACTGGCCAAGCACGCAACAACAATATCCACACTCCTGAATATAAAACATTTTGTGGTCTGACTAGAATATTACTCTTCTTCATATTAAGATTCAGATTCTTTTTCACTTAGACAGAGAATATATTAAGAGTTTCAGAAACTATCTGTCACATACATTATCAGGATGACTAAACAGATTTGCTTTAAACACATCTGTCAAAGAGCTGCTAAGACTTCTAATTATTCATTCACTGTCAGTCTCACTGGCTCATGAATTTATCAAGGAAGGATGGGTTTTGACTAAAACTATGTTCCACACAAGGTTTAAGGAAAGTCTCAAACCTTTCAAGTGGTGTTCCTCAGTGTTGCCAGCACTGTATATGCTGTTTCTTCTCTATCTTACACATACTCTACTGTTAATAAATATCAGAGTCACTCTTGGTCATAAATTCTATGTGTGTGTGTGTGTGTGTGTGTATAAAGTTTGCTACATTTCTAACTTCAAAAGCTCAAACTCATTGCTGTTAAGTCAAGAAGGTTCTGACTCATAGCTGACCCTGCATAACCCCACTGGGTTTTGGAGTCTGTTAGTTAATACCACAGGAGGAGACTTGCCATCTTTCTCCTCCAGAGTGGCTGGTAGGTTCAAGCCACTAGAGAGGCTCAACCTCTGGGGGAGCTCTGGTGGCCTACTGGGTAAAAGAGGTGCCCTGCCAATCCAAAGGCAGGCGGTTCGAATCTATCAGTTGTTCCATGGAGAAAGATGGATGACTCTCCCTGTGCAATTTATAGCCTCTTAAAACCAATGAGAAAGTCAGCTGTGAGTCAGTTCTGACTTAGGCACATAACAACAGCAGCTCCTTTTTTTTCTGGTTTGTGTTGCTTTCTCATTCATAGCTGACCCTCCAGCTGGTTTCCAAGGCTATAAAGTCTTTCTCCCTCAGAGAGGCTGGTGGATTCAAGCCACCAGAAAGAGCCTTGGCTGCTGTGTTAGCAGGGCATCTCTATAGCCTACACCACCAGACTTCCCTTTTTCCTATCCTAAGAACATTAGATTAAAAAAGAAAAAGAAAGAAAACAGATAATGAATAATAGCAGTTAACAGATAATCCAGTTAAACAACAGAAAAATCTTTAACCACACTATTATTACAGATATATAGGACAGAGATTAAAAATCTCCTTGGGACATCTTTAAGAAGGAAAAAGATAATTACATGTTTGGAATCATTTTCACTTTGACTAGAGGCATAAGATACAGATAATAAGCATTGGTGTTTCTTTTATACTCTTAAAATTTTTTATTACTACTGCATGGTTCCATATATATGAAGCTCAAGAACAAACAAAAGAACTAACCTATGGTGTCTCTTGCAACAGGAAATTGAATAGGGGCACTAGGGAACTTTCTAAGGTGACAGAAAAGTCTTTATCTTGATTTGGGTGGTGGTCATACCCATGCACAGAGCTGTCAAAGCGCCTAAAATGATTCAATAAAGATCTGTTCATTTCATTGCTTGTAAATTTTAGCTTAGTTTAAAAAACTGGATTTCGGGGTCTTGAGCTGAGTTAGCTTTAAAAAGAATAGACCCGTCACTCTTAAAGAGCAAGTCAAAAACATAATAGGAGTTTGATGTGACCAAGACAATAGAGATCATTCATTTTACAGAATCAAAACCCCAAACAACATAAAAGACAAGACTGCTGTGACCCTAAGCCTACCGCCTCACGGCGACACCTAACAACGCATCCTTGGGCCGGCTCAGCTAGTCTGCCTGCCCCAATTCTGCTGCCCGGTGGGCGGACTTGGAGCTGTAGAACTGCAGCAGTGAAAACTGGGCCAGGACCAGGTAGGCTGTGCTGTGGACCCATAGATAACGGCATCATGCTCGCATGAGTCAGCAAAAGGGTTCAAGACAAGGAAAACCGTTAACAGTCTGACCAAAATAAATGAAAGTGATAATGCAAACAAACAGAAGGCTTTTCCAAAAAGGATGCCTCATCTTATGCCTAATCCAAACCAGTCTTCCATTCTCCAGTGCTGGATGGGCTGGGAAATGACTCCAACTTGGACCAACTCTGACTTGGAACAACTAGACGTAAATATCTACTCTGACTTCTCTGCATAAATGCAAAATCACCAGTCTAGAGACAAGAGGCCTTTTATGCTTCCCTGAGATGCACACAGGAGTCTGTGTGACGTCCGATAAACAATGGCTGCAAGTACCGGGAGGAGGGGAATATTTTTCAGCCTGACAAACGACTCGCATGTCAATCCTCAACAGGCTGCTTTTCCTCACCAATCAGAAAGTCTTTACTTTTAAATGACATTCTCTGTGAAGTCCCACCTGGAGACAATTTTCTTAATTTTTGTTTTTTGGTACATTAGGCTACAATTTTTCAACATTTTTTCCAAGTAGTTTAGAAATGTAAAGACAAAGATTTCCACTGACAGAAGATATTCCATGGTGGCTGGCTGACTGCAGCTCTGTGCCTTTGGGGTTGCAGCACAACTTCTTACCACTAGGCCACCCGGCTCCCTGCCTTATCCTGAAGAAAACAACTTAGTCTCTTAAGGACAAATACTGCATAAGACAATTATGTAAAAATAGAAGGATAACTGAGCAAGGTGTGTAAAATGTATAGAAGGTGAAGGGGGAAGAGTAAGGGGAAAGAGGGAAATAACTGCGATAACAAAAGTTAGTGGGCAGATGGAGGGAGTGAAGGAATTGGAAAGATTCAATAGGGACTTGATAAGATAGGGTAATGATAGGCATGGATCAATAGTAATTAATTAGAATAAAATGTGTATGAGTTCTTTCATAAAGCACAATGTTCTTGAATGAAGCACAATATAAATGCAAGACTGTATAAATAAAAATTGACATGCATGAAACACAATGTATATGGATCACTGTATGTAAACCGATAAAAGTATGAGAAAGAAAAAAAAGAAAAATATTCCATGTTTCCAAGACGGTCCTGGTCATAATTCCTTTTACAGATGAAACGGTATGTATATCCCCAGCCCTCATCTACACCCCCCAAAGAGCTTGGTGGTTATGCACTTGGCTGCCAGCTAAAAGGTCAGTTGTTCAAGCCCTCCAGTCACTCCACAACAATACAATGCTATGGGCAAAATTTCAAATGATCCAGGAAGCATCAAAAGGAGATAGAAAGGATACACAAAGTCATTGTATCAAAAATAACTGGCTGATATGGGATCATTTCTGGAAGCAGCACATGATCAACAGGAACGAAGCGGATAATGTCTCAGTTCAGTGGCTTTCACATTTTTGAGATGCTTATGGGAGCCTGGGATTTCCCCCCCCCCCTTCATCAGAAAAGTTAGAATCAGACTTTTCAATGGAGAAAAAAGCAAAAGAAATGTGCTCAAGAGCACAGGTATTGTTACATAAGAAAATTGCATCACCAACTGCCATGTTTCTCAGAGGAAGTCCATCTCTAAACTCTTCCTTGACCCAACATGGTCCTAAGTTCACAGAGAAATGTGCATAGGGTTTACTTTTTCCTCTCTTAAAATTATAAGCACAGAGCAAGGCTGAGCTCTCAGGAGACATGCCTCACTGGCTTGTCACTTACCAAAGCCTCTTTCACCTCTTCAGAGACATCAGTCTCATCATCCTGAAAAGAAAAGAGGAAGGGAAACAAGAGGATCATAGTTACAGACATCCTTGAAAGCAACAAGGTCAGCTCTCATCAATTATGCATCCTGGCATTTCAAACATGAGTGATGAGATGCTCTGTGACAACTGCTTTTAACAGCTAACACAGGCATGCAAGTTGTGAACATCCCTTTAGTTAAAAACATCAAGACCCACAGTGGGACGGGGTAGACACTCTTCAAGAGTGAGTTTATTTCTGTCAAGAGTGGTCAGTCTACACCGCACTGTAATAATGAAATAAACTTTTATATAAATAATTTCAAATCAATGACTCTTATTTCTTTTATCATAGGGTATTCATCTAATTTTTAAATGAATCATTGGTAACCAGGGACCTTTACTCAAGTTAACTGGGTGGCTGATTTTTTTTTATTTATTTACTGAGTTTTTTGTTTTTTTCATTTGTGTGTGTGTACCGTCAAATCAGATCTGACTGGTACAGGAGGGGATTGTTCCTCCTTCTCCAGCAGAGCATCTGGTGGTGAATCGCACACCTCCAGGATTGCAGTGCAGCTTCTTGCCACTAGGCTACCAGAGCTCGCCAATTTACTGAGATTTTAATGAAAGTTTATAGAGAACTTGGATTTCCATCCATTCATTTTTGCACATTTTCCTCCCTGCCCCTACGCACCCCAAAGTTCACTTTTTTCTTTGGAAAAAAAATTCTTTCTTTGTTATACAGAACCAATGCCCTGTCCCCCCCTCTCCCCCAGTCCACTTTACTATGCAACTCTTATTCTGGACTCTTGTCATGCCAATAATACCTCATCATAATTTTAAAATGCAAATAGCAAGGTTGAACAAAGATTTAGTGGAACAAGATACATGTTCATTTTACTGTTGTTATGTACCATCGAGTCAGAACCGACCCACAGCTGACCCTCCAGCAGGTTTTCAGAGGCAGGAAGTTGCACAGGCAATTGTCCACCTTTGTCCTGAGGAGCAGCTGGTGGATTCGAATTGTGTGCTTTCGGCCGACAGCACAGCCTCTTAGCACTAGGCCGCCAGAGCTCGCAAGAACCAGATAGGAAGGAAGCTCTAGGAAAGCACTGCATGTTTGTAATTAGTAAACACTGGTGTTAACCATCTTTAGTCTGAAGTCAAAATTAATCTGTGTTGAGGTTTTCTCTATATATATATCCTGCTCTTCCAAAAAAGGAGTAAAATAGAGTCAAGTGAACTTATTACTAGTAGAAAGGCGTTATGCTTGGAAAAAAGAGGAAAACTCCTACGGAGATTAATGACATGTGGCTGAACAACAGGCTGAAGCCCAGCAGAGACGTGAGGATGGTGCAGGACCAGGCCGGATTTGTTCTGTTGTACGCGGGTCTCTATTAGTTGGAACTGACATGATGGCACCAATGTAGATTTTAAGTTCTTAAAAACCTTTATTATTGTTGTTATGTGCCATAGAGTGGGAACACATTCATAGCAGACCCTCAACGGGTTTTTAGAAGCAGTAAATTGCACAGGAGGAGACTTCCCATCTTTCTCCTGTCATGTAGGAAGCAACTCATAGCTGATCCTCCAGTGGTTTTCAGAAGCAGTAAACCACACAGGAAAAGACTGTTTCTCTTTCTCTCATGGAACAGCTGGTGGTTTTGAACTGTGTGTCTTTGGATTGGCAGTACAACTCCTTACCACTAAGCCACAAGTGCTCCCTTAAAGGGTGAAGACTATGGTGGTATACTGGCAAGAGGCTGTACTGAACTCCTGAATGCACACAGTTCAAGTCCACCAGGTGCTCTGCAAGAGAAGGATGGGCAATCCTCCCATGCAATGAAAACCCACCAGAGGGTCAGCTATGAGTGGTTCCAACTTGACGGTACACAACAATGATATATAATCAACAAGGAGCTTCCTTATGGGGGATATTGGAGAGGGCTAATTAATTAACAGAGAGCTCCAGTGGCATAGGGTTAAGGAGTTGTGCCGCCAACCCAAAGCCAGGCTGTTTGAATCCACCAGCTCTTCTCAAGGAGAAAGGTGGACAATCTCCCCTCGTGTGATCAATAGCCTCTGAAAACCCACTGGAGGGTCAGCTCTGAGTCAGTTCTGACCTGACGGCACATAACAATCAATTAACCAGGAAGGAAACTTGACAAGCATAGTCACTTGTTATGAGTTGTTTTTTTTTTCCGTTGGTTTTTTTTTTCCATTCTGCACCAATTATTACTAATTACCTCTTATCTAAGCTAAGGGAGCTCTGGTGGTCTGTCTGTAGGGAGTTACAGTGCCATCCCAAACCCTGTGTCTCTACAGGGTGCGTGAATCCACGAGCTGCTCCACAGGAGAAAGATGAGCCGTCTCCTCCCCTGAAATTTAAAGCTCTGGAAACTCAGTGGAGGGTCAACTCGGAGTGGAGGGTCAGCTCCAAGTGGAGGGTCAGCTCCGAATGGAGGGTCAGCTCCGAGTGGAGGGTCAGCTCCGAGTGGAGGGTCAGCCCGGAGTGGAAGGTCAGCTCCGAATGGAGGGTCAGCCCGGAGTGGAGGGTCAGCCCGGAGTGGAGGGTCAGCTCCGAGT